CGGAACGGCCCTGTGTCCGCGGAGGCCGACAAGCAGCCGCAGTATAGCTGGGACCAGCGAGCCAAGGTAACTGCTATTTCCTTCTTTTAAAGCGGCCGTCCGGGGGGGTGGGGCAGCCGCCCAGCGCGAGGGCTTCTTCCTCTTCTTCGCTGGCTGCGCTTGCACAACATGTTGGAGTCAAGGGGGCTCGGCTCGTGGCGTGTCGCGCGAACTTCGCCGGCTGGGGCTAGATCACGGTTCAGAGTATCGTGTGAACCGTCAGCTGAGTTGATTCCGCTTACTGCGAGGTAGCATACTGAGGGAACACGAGCGTTTCCTCTCTGTTTCCAAGGAGATTTTCCTAACTTCGGTTTTCTCCAAACGGCTGCCACTTTAGTTCTGTTGGGAGCAGAACTCTTAAAATGTCGGCTGTGGATTATGGTGACTGAGTATTCTGGGTGTTGTACGGGTTGAGGAAGCTCGCTTTAGCCCACCTAACACCACCACGACCGTGGCCGGAATCCTCGCAGTGTTTTTCCTTGCTTGTTTGGTCTGTGCAGATTATTTCTGTGAATGACAGACGCTGCTCGTGTGGCGAATGGGTATTATCTGCGGTTTCTCCGGGATTGAAAGGTTATTCCTGCCATCTCAAGAGACTTGTGAATAGATACTCTTTACCAGCCTCTAACTGTCCTGGTAAATTTGAAGAATTGTGACAGGCTTCCTTTGTGGTGTGAAGATTTCCAGCCTTAAGAAACAGTGAGGTGGGCTTGGGCAGATAAATGGTATTTAAATTAGATTATAATAATGTATTAGTGCATGGATGTCATAGATTAATACAGTAGCAAAGCTAGAGATAATGTCAAATCTACTATATGTGACTTTCTCTGTGGCTAATTGAGATTTTGTATTCAGTTACATCTTAACTACTTCTTCCATTTACTTTATACAGTTCCTCTTGTTCAGTACATTCATGTAATACTGAACAAGAGGAAAATTCATGATAACCTTCCTTTCACCACTTCCCTTTTCTTGCTTCTTTAAATAATAAGACTAATGGACTAATTTTAACAAGTTCATGCATAATTATATTTCTGGTAGTTTTATTTACTGACTCCAATGACTTGGAACAACCAGACACAATTAAAAGTTTAAAAAAGAAAATGAAGTGCAAGAATCAACAGAATCTGATAGGCATATAATCAGCAGCAGGCAATATACAACCTCTTTTTGAAGTAAATAAAAAGCTTAAATTATCTACCAGGGGCCCTTTAGAGGTAACAGATTTCAGCTCATAGTTTTGAAGTGCAGGCACAAGTTAGTGAAAGTATCACAAACTAGTTTTGCATTGCCACAACCTTTCTTGTTGACCTCTGTTGTATCAATCTAGTCTGTGTTGGACTTGGTAGATATTTAAACCTGATGGTGATAGTTCAGAGCACATCAATGTATTCTTGTGTACATAATCTAAGATGTAATGATCTTCCCTTGTTTTCTATCTAGCTGTCTCTTGTGTATAAGGAATGAGACTGCAGGTAGTGACACAAGCTTTTAATATTCCCAGTTGGTTCTTTGTTTTTTTTGATAAGCAAAGATGTATGGAAGCTTCCCTTTCAAGGTACATAACACAGACCCAGGATTTTGTTCTCCTTCAACTTTCTCCTTCAACTGTCCTCTACATTTGGTGCTTAAGGAAACTTTGAAATATTGTTTGACTCATTTCCTTGAGTTATGAAAATAACTTCTCTATAATTTGCAATATACAAAGGCTGGAAGTTTTTAAGGACTGTCCATGTGCATTCTGGGGTAGGATTATGGCTTTATTTGTCATATTTATGATTTGCTTGCTCCTTTGACTTGGCAGTCTAGCCTACCACCTTGGGATTTCCAGGTGATTTCCTTTCCAAGCATATCAGGCCAAATATTGCTTAATTTTTCAAGAACCACCAAGGCTAGGTGATTTCTTTCACCTGCTATTCTTAAAAGTTGCGGGAGCACCAAATGTTTAAAAGTAAAATATGGTTGTGTATTTTTCCCCTGAAAACAAATACAAATACAGTATTCTGAATATAAATATTGAATATTAATATTTAAATATATTTAACACATTCATTTTCACAAATTCGTACATATTAATGTATGCTTCCTTTTTTCCTTTTGATTTTGTTAATTTATTTTCCTGGTTTCCTAACAAGCATCCTTTTAATTTGGCCGCCACCTATTTTCCTGTGCTGTCCAAGTTACCTGTAACTTTTAAATGTTTGGTCCTGCTTATGGATGTAATACCAATATCTAGATTTATAAATGTATTTTGAATTTAAAAACAAATTGCAGAAATTAATGGCATCCTCCCACTTTTAAGTCGTTTGTATCTTTCCATTTTTATATTTCAAATGCCATTTCTCATCAACTGGAGTTTTAGAATGGATTATGTCAAGTCATGAGTTTTAACTTGTCCTAATATTATCAGGAAGAATTGGAATTAAGCTAAAGGAAGCTGACCTAATATTAAAACATCTTAAATGGGGAGTACAAATATTACATAATGGAATAATTTAGCTTTGATTTTGATATCCATTTGAAAGCGGGCTTTGCTTTTTGTTTCTTGACATGATGGGGGAAGGTTTAAGGCTTGAGAAAGCTAAGCTAAATTGAAATGCTGCTTTAAAAGCTGATAGTATGTGGGAATTACACTGTTCTGTCATTGACATAGTCCTGCCAACTTAGCAGAACAACTCTGTATTTTCAGACTAGGCCAATTAGTTGTGACACAGCTTCTCTATTTCACTTGGCTTAATTTCAGTTAGCACCCACTGTTTTCCTGTTTATATTTTGGATTTACAATAATGTATAAGAAACAAACTGTATACGTTTTATTTTTCTTTTATCTGGTTAAAATGTGATTCTATTTTTTCGGTATTCTCTATGAATGGAATATGTGATGTGATCCCTCAAAATGTGATACATGCATTGTCTAGAACCTATATATTTATATAACTCTGGCTAACTACATAATTAAAACAAATAACATTTAATTTTAAGACAATTGTTATGCTTTTGTGATAAAATCTATCATACTTTTAAATGTAAATTTGGTGTGTATATTTAATGGTGCATTTCAACATTATGTTCAGAAGTACAATTCTATTACCAGCTTGCAAAAAATCCTTGATCATCAATAAACTTAAACCACTAAATACTTGTCTTTCTTTCATTTTATCTTATACTGTCACCTTTTAATTATATAGTATTTTACCAGTCAATAGTCTATTTGAATTGTGCATACGGAATACTGTTCTGTATTGATCAACAATTTGTAAGCTCTTAATAGAAGATGTCTGACTAACAATATCTTTTCCTCAGTCTCTTCAGCAATGGAGTAGGAATGGTGACTACCTTAAGACAAATAAAATAACGATGCTAGATATTCTGCCTAATATAGCAAATATCAATTCTAAATTATTTCTGAGCTGAACTAAAATGTTCTTACCTTTTAAGAATATACCTTGATTATGTAATTTTGCTTTTGTTCTAGATTGATCCTAAAGATTACATGTTTTCTGGACTCAAGAATGAAACAATAGGACGTTTACCTGGGAAAGTTGCAGGGCAACAGTTTGTCATTCAGGACTGTGAGAATTGCAATATATATATATTTGATCATTCTGCTACAATCACTGTTGATGATTGTACAAACTGCCAAATCTTTCTAGGACCTGTAAAAGGCAGTGTATTTTTCCGTGACTGCAAAGACTGTAAATGTGTAGTGGCATGCCAACAGTTTCGTACTCGAGACTGCAGAAAGATAGAAGTATTTCTGTGCTGTGCCACCCAACCCATTATTGAATCTTCTACAGGTATGAAATTTGGATGTTTCCAGTACTATTATCCAGAGCTGGCTTTGCAGCTGAAAGATGCTGGGCTAAGCATCTTCAACAACACATGGAGCAATATCCATGACTTCACACCAGTTTCAGGAGAAAATAATTGGGGTCTTCTAGCTGAGGATGCTTTAGTTCAAGACTATGTAGCATTGCCAACTACTGAAGAACTAAAAGCTGTGAGGATTTCAACTGATGTCAACAGGAGCATAATTCCGGTAACACAGGGAGGACGGCAAAAAAAAAGTGAGGAATCTTGCTTAGTAGTGTTTTTTGCTGGAGACTATACAACTGCCAATGCAAGAAAGTTAATTGATGAGGTAAGAAGCAGTGTGCTATAAACCAAAGCTATTTTCCCTTTTAAGAAATTAAAGTATTACAAATCTGTAGCTTTTAAATGGCTATTAGAAGGCATAGTCAAGTTCTGACATGATGCAGGTTCTGTTTTGTATGACTGACAACCTGTGCTTTGCAGTCTGAAAATATATCCTGTAGGATGTAACAGGAGAATAATCCAGAGTGAAATTTGAGGATACACATAAGGGTTGCAGAGGGAGGAGAATCCCACTACCAGAGTAGAAGTCTGCTGGTGCAGCATTAAAGAGAAACTTGTAAGAAGGTGTTTGAAAATCCTCATGTCAAATGTTTTTCCATATCTTTTTTTTTAATTTAGAAAAAAATCAGCACCTGTGCAGAAAATATCAAACTAAATTCTTTGATCTATGGTTGGAATTAGGATCTTGTTCTACAGCAAGTGTGTTTGTCCTAGGGCAGAGGTGCAAAAAAAATGGTCCAGGAGCCACATGCAGACTTCTATAGTATCCAGAGTGGGAGGTGCCAAACGTTGGATTTTCATTGCCTTTTAAAGAGTCTTAAGGTACAAAATAGATACCTTAAGCCTTTGCAAATGCTTAAATCTCTTTCCCAAAAGAGCTTTGGCACCTCTTGTTATGTTACGTTATCTATTACACAAAGCTGCTATGGACCTCAGGCCAGCAGAAGTTGTGCATTCTTCTTCTAAGGTGAAGAAGGAATTGGAAATTTAGTAGAGCCCCTTTTTGCTTCTGAAATAATAGTGAATTATCATGGAAAAGCTAATTAGTAACAAATTTACACTGCTAGCTGTTTCGTCACAGTACATACAGACATAATAATACATAACCAGATTTCAGAATTAAAAGAGGCATCACTTTAATTGCTGCAGTAGTGAACAATCAGGTTGCACATTTGTGATTATCATAAGGATAATTTTTGCACATAGTACACTCCTATCTGAAATAAACATACATCTGATTCACACATCAGTTTTGACTATTTACTGATTTGTAAAGGTCAGTTCTAGTCCTGCCTTAGGCATGAAAGCCGGCTGGATGTCTCAGACTCTGACATCAGGCTAGGGTGACAAGCCGGTTGGTCAATTCCTGTTGCAACCAATGGCAACATTTGGTTGATCCAAAAAAAAAAAGTGGACCCTGCACCTGCTAGGAAGAAAAAAAAGTGACTGACTAGCAGTACTTTAGAAGCATACAGATTCATCCCCCTGCTTATTACAGGAATCCAAATTAATTCATCTGGGCATTTGAAGTACTTTGAATTGTTATACATTGTCAAAAATAATCTACTCTCTGTTAGACCCCATCTTTCTCACTGACTGATGGTTCATTTTCTGACTTCCATATGTCACATCCAAGCTATTTCTGAACCACATAAAGGCGCAGAGCTCTTTACATAGTTCAGTGTTGTTTATGTATTTTTTCCCAATTTATTGTGACTTAAAGGAGATACAGATGGCTGTAGACAATGGGGAAATTACTGTGTGGGAAGAAGCATTTGCATAAAAATAAGAAATAGGTGATTTGGTTTTCTAAGCAGGATTATTTCCATATGTTGTACATTGCAAATTGTATATTAAAAATGTACATATTCTAATTCTTATTGAAATTCAATAGATGACTGGCAAAGGCTTTTGGCTGGTACAGACTAAAGAAGTTTCAATGAAAGCTGATGATGCTCAGCGAGTGTTCCAGCAAAAGGCATCTGAATTCATCCCTTTACTTGAAAAAGGTATAACTCTTTGAAAAATTAAAACCTTGAAAAATTAAAACTTTTACTTAAATCTGAATGTAATTCCTAAGGCAGAGGGCAATGGAAATTATATTGTACATAAACCTTTTTTAAAAACCCTGTCACTAAATGGTACAGGTCACTTGCAAGTGAAGCTCATGCCAAAGTTTTGTTTTATTTTTTTGCTACAAATAAATAACAGATAAAGATTATTTGTAAAAGCTATACTATCAAAATTATTCTTGAAGGGAATACAGCAATATGCTGATCTCTTTGCAAAGCTGAATTTTAATAACACTTTCTGGACTTGATACTGATCAGCTACAATACATTTTTAATTGTATAGTTTACCAGAACTGTAGCAATGCTGCAACAAATGTAATTCTGTAAAAAGAATAAGCAGGCCCAATAAGAAGTGTGCATTGTTCCAATATCACAGAGCAGTATTTAGCTCTAGATACGGTAGATGTTGCTGTATCCAAGTAACAATTCCAGTAGTCCAGTATTCTTCAAATTTAAAAGAGTAATGGATTCTCCCATGGTGTAGGTAGTCCTTGAGTTATAACCATTTGTTCAGCGACCATTCGAAGTTACAACGGTGCTGAAAAAAGCGCTGGTGCATGCGAGTGAGCGAAGGCGGAAGTAGAGTGAAGAAGCCCCTGAGCCGCAGCATGGCAAGCAGCCCCAGACCTTGTAGTTCTGGGGCTGCTTGCTGCCCCACAGGGTGGCCAAAAGGGCAGAGATGGGAAGGAAGATATGCAGGTGGGAGGAGTTGGAGACAGTCCCTTACCTTACTGAGCTCAATATTGGGAGGGACTAACCTGGAATGGCTTGGATTGAGATGGATCTTCAGCTAACAATCTATGGAATTCATTTAATGACAGCAATGGGTAATGCCAGGATTGCCATTGCTAAGCGATCTTGCTTTATGACCTTCTCGCTTAGCGATGGAAATTCTGGTCCCAATTGTGGTCATAAGTCAAGGACTACCTGTATAAGGTTAGACTTTGCTTTGAAGATACTTTAATTATTCAAAACAAAATTTGGTCCTGAGTTTAGAAAAATTCCCCCCCACCTCACCCCAGAAAAACAGGTAGGGAAAAAGTATAACCAGACAAATATCCAGTGTGTCAAGTTAGGATGGCCAACTTTACCTGAAATCAATCCTGGAGACTTCTCTCAACAAATGTGTGCATGGGACACACAGGCATATGTACACATGTGTTTGGGTGTATATACTTGCTAGAATCTGCATTCCTAAAAAAAACAAGGTCAAGAGAAAAATAATATTAATGTAAAAATACTTATATTTGGCTATAAAATAAGGTACCCTGCTCAAGGAATAGATTCCTCCATCAACATGTACAATCATATTCTCACATGGAACACTCTCATATGCAGACACATTCTCCTTCCAGGATAAAACAGGAAAAAAGCTGCATGGAGATAGGAAGGAGTGGGAGGAAACAAAACTGGATGGAGATGACATAAAGTGGGAACGGGATAGGGAAGAAAAATAAAAGATGCCATGTTTCAGCATTACAGAAAGAATTAAATCCACTAGGCAAGCAGCCCCTTCCAAGTAGTGGCTGATCTTAAGAGCTTGATGTCTTCAGCCACTTGCCCCTCTGCCCATTTGCTCAATTTCAGCTGTAGCTTATTCTCAGGGACTGTAGGATGACCCCCCTCCCAACTTACAGGTAATGTTTGAGGGCGAGGACATATTTCCTGTTAGTAAACAGCAGTTTTTTTTATCAGCTTTTTTTTCCCTTTCATAAAAGGTGGGGGATATACAGCATCTTTTATTTACTTTTTTACCATATCCTATATAAAGGATCTCTGAGCAGTTTACAGAATATAAAATATGCAATAGCAACAATACAATACAATAAAACATACAAAATTATATACATAAAGGTACAGGGGGATGGAAAACAGAAGCAGAAACAAACAAGAAACCTCAAACTTATCCAGCATTCAAACAGAGAAGGTCTCTGAAGAGAGATGTCTTCAACAAGTGCTTTGGCACTGTAAGATTAGAGCTTCATGAGCTTCAAGGGTGTGATCATTCTATAGTGTAGGTGCTACTACACAGAAAGCCCACCTGTGACAGACTGCAAGATGACACTGCATGCATTTGGCAGACATAGCAGAACCTCCCCAACAATCAGCAATTGACCTGATGGGCGGCCCATCAGGATTCTGATCCAAACATATAAATTTTAAGCAAAACCCTGAATTTGGCTCAGTAGCTAATTGAAAGCTAGTATAGTTACTTCAGCAGAGATGAAGGTACAAGGTGATATACCTCACTCAGCAATCTGATTACTGCAGTCTACATCACTGCAGCTTTTAGATCAAATGGAAGGGAAACTCCACATAGATTACATTGTAGTTATCCAAGCATAAAGTCATCAGTCTATGGACAACAGTAGTATTTTCATATGTAAGTTGCCCCCGAGTCACAATTTATTTATTTATTTATCAGATTTGTCACCACCCATCTCGTTAAATGACTCTGGGCAGTTTACAAAACAAAATCAATTAAAATTACATTATTACAATAATAAATACAAAATAAAAAGATCCAAAGTAATTGGTGATCACTCAGGGAGCGTCATTGAGGCACTAGCCACCCCCAGGATTAGGTAGAGTTGTTATCCCCCCACGCAAGCTGACAGAGCCAGGTCAATTTTTTCTGGAAAGCCAGTAGGGTAGGGGCCTGCTGCACCTCTGGGGGGAGAATGTTCCAAAAGGCTGGAGCAGTAGCAGAGAAGGCTCTCCTCCTGGGCCCCGCCAGTTGACATTCTTTCGTTGACAGGACCCGCAACATGCCCTCTCTACCTGACTGGGTGGGACAAGTTGATGTGATGGGGGTAAGATGGTCCTTCAGGTAACCTGGACCCATGCCACATAGGGCTTTAAAGGTGATAACTAACACTTTGAATTGGACCCGGAAGCAGACTGGGACCCAATGCAGCTCGCGTAGTAAAGGTGTTACATGTGCCGTTCTTGGGGCACTCAAAATTATCCACGCGGCCGCATTTGTATACAGCGCCTCTGTATCCGGGATTTTGTCATCTTTGGTGCTGGATGGGGTGGCGCTGCCCCAGACAGACCCAGTGCGTAATCTGGGGGTCCTCCTAGACTCATGGCTCCTGCTTGAAGAGTAGGTGGCAGCTGTGGCAAGGAGGGCCCTTGCACAACTTCGGGTTGTGCATCAGTTACGCCCTTTCCTGGATCGGGATGCCCTTCGAACAGTCACTCACACCCTTGTTATCTCCCAGATAGACTACTGCAATGGGGCTACCCTTGAAGAGTATCCGGAAGCTACAGCTGGTCCAGAATGCAGCCACGCGGGCTATTGTTGGAGCCCCAAGGAGGGCCCATGTAACGCCTCTGTTCCGCGAGCTGCATTGGGTGCCAGGTTGCTTCTAGGTCCAATTCAAGGTGTTGGTTATCACCTTTAAAGCCCTATATGGCATGGGACCAGGTTGTTTAGGGGACCGCCTCTCCCCTATGACTTCAACCCGTCCCACCCAATCACACAGAGAGGGCATGCTTTGGACCCCCTCAGCGAAACAACTTTGACTGACGGGGTCCAGAAGGCGGGCCTTCTCTGCAGTAGCCCCTGCTCTTTGGAACATTTTGCCCCCAGAGGTGTGATTGGCCCCCACACTCCTGGCCTTCCGTAAGGCTTTGAAGACCTGGTTCTGCCACCTGGCCTGGAGTGGGGAGGGAATACCTCAAGCATGGGGATGACTAGCCCCATAGAGGCCTTCTGTCTTCAGCCTCAGATTTTTCATCCTCTTGGACTGTCCTTCTCCTTTTTAGTAATGTTTTTAATTAATGTTTTATGTATTTACATCTATGTTTTTAATGTTTGTTGTGAATTGCCCAGAGTTCCCCCATTGGGGGGAGATGGGCAATTGAAAAACTAATAAATAAATAAATAAAATTTTGGGCCAGCTGCAGCTTCCAGATACTCTTCAAAGGTAAATTCAAATTTGCCAGTCTGGCAGCCATATAAATCATTTAAATAAATTAATATTAATGAAGTGCAGTTCCAAAGCTCCTGAAGATTATTTTCAGTGGCTTCATATAAAAGTTAAATGGTATTAGGGACCAAATAGTGCTCTATGGCATTCCACAACAGAGCTACCAGAGCCAGAAGTATAGTCATATAATATTGTTTATGCAAGTAGGAGTTAAATCACAGTTAATACAGTGTCCTCAACATACACAATTCAGAAAGGTACCATAGTTGACAGCACCAAAAGTTGCCATGCAATTTATCAGAAAAATATAGGGTTGTACCCCATATCTTCTCCCAACATCCCAGAGCAGATCTGAGGGAAAGGACCACAATGGAGAAAGGATTATTTTGTTCAGTTTACTCTTAGGCAACCAGAGTTGAATACAACTTAATGTTAAAAATACTAAATCTTAATTATTGCTTTTCTAGGTCCTGTTGTTGCTTTAGAGTTTAACGGAGATGGTTCTATAGCAGCCTGTCAAGACATTGTTGTTAATGTCTTCAGTGGAACTAAGGTGAGTAGTGGTGCAGATTCTCCCTGAAAGTATTTTCTGGAACTAATAGCATATTTCTCCAATGTGCTGCTTTCTCCATAGAATTTTACTTTTTTAAAATTGAACTTAATTCTTCCCTTCTTCCCAGAAACTTGGGAGAAATAGGCCCCGGGTATGGTTCTACTTGGTGAGGGTAATAAATAAACACACTATTTCCATTCTGCTTCTGCTGACATCTAAAGTCACATTTGTTTTCCTAACTATCTGTACTGTCGACATCCCCTAGTAACCGGGGTAAAAGAATAATGTCGTCTTAAGTGTTGTCTTTACTAATATGTTTTATATTTTATTGTATATTTTATGAACTTGAAATCTAGATGTAAATCCTTTTAATAAATACATGGTGATACTCCTAACGTCATCCAATTAACTGGGCCCAAAATTTTAACCACTATGTTATGCTAGTTCTTGAAGTGAACAATCAAAAGTAAATAATCTTATGTGTTAGAAGATACCAAGACTGTATCATTTAAGAGATTAGGGATAATATAAGGTTTCTTTTGAAAATAAGAATATAATGTTTTTATTATGTTTGTATCATTCAATTTGCACTTTTAGATTAGCATTCTTAATTTAATAGTAAACCACTTGACTGGCTTATTTTTAAAAAAAAATTAAAATAATTTAAAATTCTGGAGTAAAACCCTTAATTGTGTTTTCTCTTTTTATCCTAAAATACAGGTTTTTGTATCTGAGGACAAGTTGTCTGCTTCAAGAGAAGTAGACAGTTTCTATAATTTTGCTGATATGCAAATGGGAATGTGAAAGAAAAAAAAGCACCTTACTAAAAGATGTCTACTTTCATAGTTGAATTGAGCATTAGGTTTGTACAGCACTCTGAATTAAGTGAAATATTTTGAGGTAAAATAAGAGTTTAGCCTTTTCTTTATAACATTGATTTCTCAAATAACACTGTAAAATTGAAGTAACTTCGTAATCCCTCTTAACTGTGACTATTTCTTTCCTGCATGTTATATTTTAATATTATAATATTTTCAGCTATAATGGTACACTAGATAGAAGTATAGATGTTAGAAAGCTGGTGCATATTGAACAATTTTTATGTATATTTGTATCTTTGGGTGAGCATAAACTCGATTTTGACCATGGTATGCTTTATAAAACTGAACAACCATTAATAACATTAAGTATGTCCTGAAATTTCAAAAAACTTCACACTGAAATCAGTATCATTCATAAGATTTTAATTCTGACTGATTTGTCTCATTTCTATAAAATCAGCAAAGATGAGAAAAATCAATTATTTTAACTTTTGCTCTCAAGTCCTAGGTTCAACAATGGCTTTCAACATTAGATTATGCTTGGATGACATAACAGTCCAAGAAGTGGCATTTGTGGAAACAGGTGGGGCTTTGCTACGGCTTCTGACAAATATTTCCAGCATAGGAATTGTATTGCTCTTGCTGCTGGATCTCTGTGGGCATACTGCTTTAGATTTTTGTGAGGAGTTTATCCAAATATATTCAGTTCATAAATGCAGATCTAAAAGAAGTGAACGTGACCTGCGCTTCTGACCTCCACTTTACTTAATATTCAACATAAAAGGTTACAAACCTGCTTTTAGTTTAGAGTATGTATGACTCAGTTCTGTTTATATCTTGTCTGTAAATTTCAATTTTCAACCCTTCTGGTTTAGTTTGTACATAATGTTAAACCAGGATTCTTTTAACCTAATTGTTTGCCCTGAATCCTTACATGCAAAAAGAGGTTTATTTCTGCAGCAAAGCCCTGTTTTAGTTTTCAAATTCTGTGCTGTTAAATTATTCTTTCTTAGTTTGCACACTACCAAAGTCTTTTTCTGATCCACAGAGATGCAAGGTAACAGCAGCTAGAACAGCACCTCTTCCTACCTCTTTCTCTTTCTCATTTTCTCAGATAATTTCTTCCTTTTTTCCATGCTCAGTTCCTCTCCAAATACCGGGCAGTGGTGGGTATCATAAACAGATTTTGACTGCAGAAAGCTCAGCATAACATTAAGCAAATGGTGATTCTCAGTAAATATGTAAGGCAGAATCCAGGCCACAGAGGAACTCTAATTCAACATCAATATCCACCCATAAACAAATAAAAACAAGCCCAAATGCAGGCATATCACACAAGCCTGCTCCCCCCCAAAACCCATACACATATTGAATGACATGATCCTTTAAACTCAAATATAGGCCGCTCCAAAATTTCCTCAGAAACGTAATTATGGTTAAAATGAAGTGTGTACACAAATCTTTCTTCAGTATTTGAGATACATTACCTGAACCACTGAGGTGGTTTAGAATGGTAAAATAAAGATTATGAGAATTAAAAATTAAGATGGTAATGCAATCAGTTTATCACTTATTCAGAATATAGCAAAATGGCTCTTAGCCATGCTGTAGCTGCAGGGGGCTTCCTTTAGTAAATGTAAATGTTGGTGCTTAAGGATTATACTGTAAATTTACTGGTATCTGTAAGACTGATCTTTTACACAACTGTAAAATGGATTTCCTTTTGTGTAGTTAATGTTCTATATGTAAATAATGGTTTCTTTCCTATATTAGCACTTTATGTTGGATAAAGACTTCGTACAGAATTTTTACCTTAAATTTAAATTTTAACAGGAAACAACTATAAGGGGAAAAAAGAGAGAAGAAAACTTCTGCATTGTGCAGTGGACAGCCAATTTGTCTAATCAATAGAGGCATCTCAAACATTTACTTGTTTTTAAATTATCAAAATGGAAGGATTCATGAATTAATTTTTGAATTGTTATGTTTTAGATTTGTTTATGAATGGAATTTATTGGTATCATATAGAATTTAAGAGGGTTTTGTATGTTACAGCTTTTATATACAACTTGTCTAGCATTTGTGAAATGTGTTTTATAATAAATACTTAAATAAAAGCATCCCTTTATTTAAAATGTGGAATGGTATATTGCATTTTTTTAAAAAAAGACCTAGTCAGTGTTGCATATAGTTAAATCTTTAGGTTTATAATCTTATTGTTTATTTTTATTTCAGATAGATTTTGCTGGATCTAATGCTGATAATCACATTATACAATAAACCCTAATGGGAACATGAAAAATTAGAGACAGGTTGCAAAGATTTAAGCTGCTTAGAAATTGGGGAAGACTGTTCAATAATCTTGCAATAAAATCCTCAGACCATAGGAGTCAGCAAAAAATTCTAGCCATTTGCCTGTTTATTTAAATTCCCCAAGATAAAAATAGAAAAGCAATAAACTTACTAGGTAGGCAACAAGCTTTTTAAGTATCTAAAATGGTTTTTAAGCTCTGAACTTCACTATTCCTTTTGAATCTTTCTGCTCAACCAGCTTCAGCTAAGAGCAACAGAGATGGCACCTACAGTTCCTGTTTTATTAGCTAATGCTGGGAAAATTAAAAGTAACAACCTGAACATAGTACTCAGAATAATCCTCAGATGGCCTTGTTTTGTTGCAGCTTGGAACAAAACCAGTGAGTTTTGTGCAGAGGGGAGGACAAAACTGTTTAGGACGTGGATGTATTGAGTATTCTAAACTCAGAAGAGCCAGTCTGAGCTTGTTATGTTTTGCATGCGTCTAACTCGAGACCAATTCGTATGATTTAATACATTGGTTAGATTTATGGAAGATAAGGCTCACAGCGGCCATATATCATCCTATAAGTCATTTACTACCAGAAAGGACAACAGAGATTATTGTCACGTTAGTGTCCTGTATGAGGATTTCTTACTGGTTCCTAGATGGGCAGTGTGGCCAAAGCTGTAGTAGGCAAACCTTTGCTTTGATCCAGCAGTTTCCCTTTAGCGTTTAAACTTTGTCTCATTTACTGTACACAGCTGAATAAAATGTGTTAATCACAGAGATCTCAAACAGCACATTTGCTCTGAGGGTAGCACTATGGTATGATGAATAGAGCTATGTGTTTATCAGGAAAACCACTTGTATGCTATCAGGCTGCATACACACAAACTATATGCAAGGAACAAAGTGTCAAAAGCTTCATCTTATGGAAGTCCCTACAAAATCAGTGAAACTAAATGACATTGCAACTGAATCACATTTCATAAGGCACAATGCTGGCTTCCTAGCTCATTTTTGCAGTGTTCTCAGATGTTTTGATCTCAATCCAGGATTGCCTTTATATATATCCTAGCAAAGACATACACTACTATTTTGTTGGAACAGAGTATCTGTAAGAGATGCTTTGTCAATATGAAAGCTAAGATCTACCAAAACAAAACCCTTGTTACTTTATATGTGTATAAATTACTGAGTTCTGTGAGATTTTAATTGCCCTCAAGCATTACTACCATCACAGGTAGTCTCATGACCAAATTATTATTTGGAAAGTCCCAGATTATATAAATTCTACTAACGTTTCTATTCCTTTTTTCGTTTGCCAGACCCATAATAACCTTCCCGTAAAGCAAACTGACAAATGTGTTCCTCTTTCCCTGATCCTTTTGAAGTTTTGAAGTTTCCCTGATCACTTTTGAAGTTTTGAAAAAACTTCACTTTTGTGATTCATCTCATGGTCTGCAATCTCACACCTTTCTCCAGCCCACCTCATTCAATGCATAACTGCAAAGAAAAACAGGGTGCCCTTGTAGTGGCTGTGTTCACAAATGTGATGAGGCACAACTTTCCACATGAGCTAAAGGTTTGTGTGCCATCCTCATAGCCCTTAGAGATGATCTTTGCCGTGAGAATACACAAGACTGTCCTTCCCAGATCCCCACTTCTAGACAGCCTTGAGTAATCTAGTGCATGTGGAAAATTATTCTTATATTCATATCACTAGCCTCTCTCCCATTTACACATCATATATATCCCTTCATATGGAATATTTTATGCTGTCTTTAAGTCAGCATCCCAGAAATGACAATAAACTTGCCATTCTCAGCATGAGCAGAACAAAGCCAGCTGTCCTGAATCTCAAACCTCACTGCTGAACTAGGCCATAGGAATTGTCTGAAACTTTTAATTTGCAGCTATCAAAATCAACTTGTAATTACTCCTGTACATTTTTGCTATTGCTTGGTCTTCATTCTTAGTGGGCAGTTGCAACCAGCCAACAGCTAATTACATAGCATTTGTATTATATCACATGCTTCTCATTTTGAGAATGTCCATGTAATTTTAAAATTAAAATTCCTGTGTATACAGAATTCAGAATACTTTAATGGCCAAGAATAAAATATATACAAGGAATTTGTCTTCGGTGACGACAAATATTGTGTGTGTGTGTGTGTAGAAATATATATATGGAATATATTATATATTAGCTTTATGCAAAATAAAAGGAATTAAATATCAAGTATTTAACTATACTATGTATACTTTCTGTATTAACCTTATCCAACATCCACATCCTTCAGATGAGTTAAAAATAAGCACTAACAAATATTATTGGTCAGATTTATATGGCCACCAATCAGAAAAATTCAAGGTGGCTTGCATTTAAAAACTCCTTTAAAAGAATGCAGAAGATATAAAAATTAAACGGCATGTGGGGAAGTACTTAAAAGCCATCCCTTATCAATCATCACTCAGAATGGCTGAGAATCCTGAGAGCTGTGCTAGGTTAGAAATGGTTCTTCCAAATTAAGTACTGCCGCGTTGGATATTGAATACGAAAACTCTTATAATACTGCAGTAAGCATCCAGATGGTTTTGAGTGTGTACCTTCAAGTCAGTCTTGACTCCTGGTGACTGCCTGGACAAGTCCTCGCAGTATTCTTGGCAACATTTTTGGAGGTGGTTTGCCCTTGTCTTCTTACTCCGTACATCTAGCCAAAGAAACATACACTGGGTGAAAACCTTTTCAGCCTTGCTTAGGAGTCTTCCATCGTGTATTTAAAAACTATCAGGTTTTCGTTTCATTTTCTGAGTTCTGTTGTGGAACTCCAGCTTAACTGCTCCCACATCAAACAGAAGATTAATTTTATCTAGAGTTTCCAAATTCGTGTGATAGTTTGGTGTTGTTTTATAATTCAGTTAATGTATTATTTCTTCATGCATGAAGTAAGTGACTTTGTGCTACATTTCTCTTTCACACCGAGGAGTCCCCCTTTCTACAAATAATTGAACACGAGTCAGCAGCTTTCCCATGTAGCTATTTCCTTATTGTAGGTCAAAAAATGGGGCTTATGACATTGCTACCATGCTGTAAGCTGCCCCAGCATCTCACACTGGTTATTGGACTAGATTGCATTGTATTGGGGATGAATGCTTCCTCAAATGTGTTAAGCTATGTGTTAACAGAAAAAGTGCAAGCACCGGCCATCATAGGCTGTTTAACAACTTATCTTTTTATCAACGTTTAGGTGCTTTCCTTGTGCTGTTGAAGTAATTCAAAGCAGATGTAGGATAATGGATACCTACTAGAGTATTAAATGGTTTGCTTTCTCAATCATATAGACTGTATTTCTGGATTAGTTGATACTAGGCTTACATATTTATTTTCATACAAGCTTCATTAAAACTTATGCTAGACCTAAAGTGGTAATGTAGTTAGGATCTTGTGGGCTTATAGTTGACCAAAGCATCTGAAACATATTTTTACGTAAGAACGATGGCATGCATATCATGTAATTGTCAAATGATGTGATTAAATAATTCTGTCGTAAGGTAAATTGTATTGTTTCTGTGATGAAATGTTTTCTCCCCTTATCCCCATTGTGGTTGACCTAGACAGTTGACAGATGTACATTTTTGGTCTATCCCAACTCATCCTGATTTTTTCTAAAATTCTTCTGTTATTAGAAATGTGTGTTCCCTTGTCCTCAGAGGCTGAAGGGAGATTTATCGATCTTCTAACAATTTTTTTTCCTATTGTTTGGTCAATTACGTAAATATACCCTCAAGCCAAGATCAACTCCTGGTGACTGCATCCATGCAGTTTTCTTATCAATGTTATACAGGTGGTTCATTACTGTACTGGCTTGTTCTGGGATGTTTTTTCAACTTCTCAGCCTAGGCAACATTAACACACCCCATCCAAATAACTAGGGTCAACTATGCTTCACTTCAAAGATCAGCTAAGATTGGCTGGGCACGTGGTGCACTTTTTTTTTTTCCAGAATTGCCTGAAGAATATTTTTGGGTGAATTCCACTACTAGTTATTATCAGCACACATGAACACAATTCTTCAGGTTAGTTTCTTCCATTTGTACCCAACACATTAAGTAGGTTTGTTTTGCACTACATTAGCTGTGACATGTACCTATGTACATTTCTTTTTCCCTGATGGCTGGTGAAGAAAGCATTTTATTTTCAACCTATCCAGGGAAGGAGGAACGTGCTAAGAAAAAAAAAAAAATACTACGTGCACTGATGACGGTGGGCATATACCGACTTTTCCAATAATGCGAGGTTTAAAAAAGAAATGGGGTTTAAGAACAAAGATTACACAAGCGCTGGAAGGGAACGACAGATAACGGCGTGCTGAAAGTTTTCTTTGAGCTACTTGGGACGGCTAGGAGGAGAGGCTCAATGAAAGCAAAGCGGGGACGGCGGGGCGTCTGCTGGCGTGCAGGTGCCAGGCAGCCCCGGCCGAGCTCGGACGCG